CCCAAACGGCAGGAAAATTGTCTCTGTTGCACTAACCCCTTCCTTATTTCACACCAGTGCATCTACTTAGGGAAAACCAATTTGTCCAAACAGAATGGGAAGTATTGCCAGCCAATCTACACACAAATCTCTCAACTGATATATCCATTGTCTCCCCTGAGCTGTGATTGCTTCTCACACATGAACACTAAAAATGCCTAAAATTAGAGGAGAGATCTTCCTAAACTTGACAATAATCAGCATAGAATAATTTGTGTAAGCTCCCTTTTGCTGTCAAAGCAACTCCATCATTCTGTTGGCACAAGAATGGTCCGCATTATCATCAGCTGGAACAATACTGAACATACAGATAATACAAATGAAGAATTTTAAACATTTTATGGGCAAATAACACATTTTAGAAAGGTGATAGGGTTTTTATTAAATTCTTCTAAGGCTGCTTTATGTTCTGATTTATCCACTGAATCTGAAGAGGTCAATGCCATTGCTTGGGAGCTCATATAATCCAAGAAAAGTAAAGCAGATGTCTTCCCAAAAATCTTCATGTGGTTCAAGATCCTATGTACAGGGTGATATTTTGACATGAAAAGAAAACAGATTGCAAGTCATAGCCAGCATGAGTTGGTGCATCTCATATCACACGAGAGAGATACAGCCCTGAAATACAAGAACACAATATAAATGTCTGCAGTTGCTTTTTGTATTAGTTTTCTATTGCTGCATAACAAATTACCACAAATTTGGTGACTTAGAAAAACATAACATTTATTGTCCCATAGTTTTTGTGGGTCAAGAGCGCAGGCCCAGCCTAGCTAGATTCTCCCCTCTGGGTCTTACAAGGCTGGAATCCAAGGGCTGCCCTGGGACAGAGGTTCCTGAGATCTCCGGGGTCCCTGCCCAGGTCACGCGGCTGGTGGCAGGAGCCATCTCACTGCATGGCAGGCCGCTTCTCCAAGGCCAGTGGGGAGGGAGGCACTGACTTCTCAGTCCCTGACCTCTAGAATGTCTTTTAAAAGACTCACTTAATTAGGCCAGCCCTTGCAGAGTCATCTCAAAGAGGCCTTAGCTTCTTATGCAAAATCCCTTCTCCTTTGCCACATTTTTGAGTTAGAAGCAAGGTCAAGGTCCCACCCACACTCAAGAGGCAAAAGTTAAGACAAGGGCCTGGGGTCATGGGGTTCATTTTGGAATTACGCCCACCGCTCCCCATGCGGCAGCGAGCAAGCCTCTGTACGCGCCCCAGGCCAGGCTATGACTGACGTCACGTGGCATATTAAACCCGCGGTCAGTCTCTTGGAGAATAATGCTTGTTTTTCTCTCCTCTGACTTTTAACTTATTCATTTAGCAAACCTTTTCCCCCGTGCGTGCAGCACACCAACGACTGGGCTAGGTGCTAGTGCACAAAAGCCAATGAGGAGCAGTCCTTACCTGTGGGGGCATCACAACCACGGCCACCTTATCCCATCAGCTGCCTAACAGCAGTCAGGCTGGTCTCTCATTATCCCATTAATCAACCCTTTTGCAGCATTACTTGACAGTTTTCCACAAAAACTTAGGTGTTATTAAGTCTAAGTTTATTAAGAACATGAATGTTGAGCCTGAGGCCAATGCCCCAGACCAGCTGTTTCAAAAAACCATTCTTGCCAGATTTGTGTTTAGCAAAAAGAATGATCTGTTCCGAACCACGTCTGCAAGCAAAGATTCACTGTCTTTCTCTTCTAAAAATCATCAAAGACAAGAGAAAACCTGCCTCAACAGCGAACTCCTCATAAGCAAGTCAGGACAAATTGGAAATTTTCTTCTCAGTTGTTAAAGCAGCACTATTGTGTGAAGCTGACAACCTGCCCTCTGGATTGGGCACCCAAACCTGGGCATCCATTCAGCACCCACAGGCATTTCTGAGGTCAGCCATTTGGGATTCAGAAGCTCGGCTGGGTGGCCATTTGCCCAGTAATTACCAATCAGCTTAGCTGAACTTGAATCTCAAGTCACCACACATCACCAGGTGGAGGACTTCGAGTGACCCTTGCAAGCAAGACCTGATCAATCCTCCTGTCACTGGACTCTCTGTGGAGTCAACGTGGTGCAGTCATGGGGGCAGGACATGTTCCAGATATTTTCCAAAAATAACCTCACCACTTTGGTGCTGCTCGACTTGGCATGCATTATGAGTAAATAAAATTAATTGCTTGATAATAATTATTGCTTCAAAAGAAAGTGGTATGTTTATATTTTATCCAAGTGTTCCATTACCCTAGGGAGGTGGCAAAGGATCAGAGCTGTCAGCTGCCAAATGGATGAATAGTTCGAAACTGCTGTCTCCTTTTATGCCCAGCCTTATGATTTTATATATAATAAGTAACACATGAGTAAGAGATGATAATACATCTTGTACATAAAGTATAGAGTGGTAAACAATATATAAAGTACATAATAAATATATAATCATACTATGTAATATATAATGAGTGCTAGTAGATCAAAAATCACTTAATAACAAATAAGAGGAAAAGAGAAATTTCTAGAAGATAGAGTTCTCTTGGCTATTTAAATACCTACATGTCTTGGTCTTTGGGTCAGAATGGGTCCTCCACTCATCCAGACTGACACCCAGAGTTATGGACCCTGATCTTGTGTCCTCTGAGACTGTATTCTACTCAGTTACAGTAACTGATCAATTGTAGCAGCCACAGGAAGAACATCAATTTAAAAAAGAAGGAAAGGAAAGGAGAAAGAGGAAAGAGAAGGAGAGGAGAAGAGAGAAGAGGGAAGGGGAGGGGAGGGGAGAGGAGAGGAAAGGACTCTAACCTGTCTACTTGGAATTACACAGCCAGGCCATGATGCTCAACCCATCATTCAGACATCTCCTACTATGAACTCCTACTATAAACTATTTCCTGCATTTGAAGATCACTTCCACTTTGGATGACATTAGCATAAGACCATTCTCCAAGGAGCACAGAGTACTACTAACCATCCCATTCAACAACACAATTGACACTTCAACACATGCACGGTTGCCTGTGACAGTAGTTGTGCTCACTGTCATGCTCATTTGAGGACGAAATGGAGAACCTGGAGACCGCATTCCTCGTGGCATCCCAACCCTCCCTCCTCCAACTCCTTCCACCACCGCCCTTCCTTCTCCTTCCCTGGAGTGATCACACACATGCACACACACTCATGCACACAAACCCATGTCCACACAAGCACACCACCTGCCTTTCCAGTTTCCAGTAGTACTCACCTCGCTGTGCACACCTGTTAAGGCCCAGGGATTAGAGGCTTTGCTGGAGATTATGAGTGAAAATCACTGCATTTGAGTGATATTGTGGGACTTTGGGAGGCCACAGATACAATATTATTTACAAAAAATGAGTTGTACCTGCATTCAAATGTAACTATATCAAATAAAATTTATAACACGCAGATGACTGTAACTTTCTTATCATATATTTGTTTCTTAAAACAATTATGTTACAAAAGACTCCCTCAAGCAATAAATCCTCATGTTTAACAGAACTCCCATTTTCTATCCTAACTAGGCTGCTCTGTAATAAAAGCAAAACTCATCTGACATGTTTGTAGAGCACTTTATCCAAAGAGTCCCAAAGGCTTTACAGATTTCATTCTATCAGAGGGAAGGGAGTAAATTATTCACTTCACAGAGAGCTGTGAATAATGTTTTTTGGCTGCTTCAGTCAACTATCTCTAACAGAGAGAAACTGCATCAGGATCCTCCAGGCATTACAGGCCAACATCTATCTGTAAACTTGCAGGACCCAGAAAGACTAGACCTACTTCCCCATCCCGTGTCTCCATCTAGCTTTCCTGTCTCCAGTCACGAACCCCTTCTCCTCTTCACTCTGATTTCTACTTCACCACGTCAAAATGCGGAAGCAGAAACTCAAGAGAGAACACTTCAAAAACTTGAGAATCAATGCACTAAATGGTCTCCTGTCACTCTGAAATGTTCATGTCATTTCCCAAAACAAGCTTTCATTTCACCTCAAAAGCCCCCTCTTGCCATCCGTCTCCAAATTCAGACCTCTAACCTGAGCGCTCCCATGGGTAACGAATGGAAGCAAAACCACAAAGGAGAAGGAATTGGTCAAAATAAATAGCGTCTAAAGACAGACAATAGCTACGTATACAAGTTCTAGCAGCCACAAGAAAATCATCAATAAAGCATCAAGGAAGATGAAAGAACTGTAAGAGATGTGAGCAAGGACCCCATGAGATGAACCATAAACACTTCTTTGGGGGGCAATGATTCCTCTCAAAGAGACGACAGGAATCATCCCATTTTTATTCAAGGAACATAAAGGTGGAGGAAATGCATCACTTGACTGTGTTATTTTCTGGAAGACTAATCTCCTTAGTTTCATTCAATTAACCAGCATTAACCAAGCATTATGCTAGGCACTGTGAGGATGTAAACATGCACAGTCCCTGCCTAGACAGTGTCTGCTGGGCATGCCCTTGTGTTTTCTACTTTACCTAGACTTATCTGTGCATTAAGTACCCTGACAGAGCTAACCACAGATTTTTTAATTTATCAGTAGGAATACACACCACCAAAATATTCTTTTTAATGGTAATATTACTTATACCACAGTAATAAATATATGCAGAACTGCAAATAAACATTTTTACACACGAAGAATCAATGCACTAAATGTTTCAGCTTCACTCTAGTATCTAATCAATCCAAGAGCAGCTTATTGTTGGGTACATACCAAATCAATAAGAATACACCTTAAAATAGCTATAAAATGGAATGCTATAGAGCAGAGAGTATGGGGCTACAAGAGGCAATCACACTGTACAGTTATACAGCAGAATACCAACAGTTAGCAGTTATCTTAACTGCCCATGAAAAATCATGGGTTGTTTGATACTAACTTGCTTCTTGTTATGTTTTTCTCAAACAAAAGCCAATATCAAGGAGTATATTTATAGCCCTTTATTCACAAATTTTGGCACTGTCACCAAAATTGAGTAAATGGGAATAATGGAATGATTCAAAAATTGTATTCAAAGCATGAGCTGCCCTTGCCCTAAGTGGGATGCTGTTTGGGGGGGCAGAAGGATGTCCTCGGGCTCCAAGCGGTGGTCTGCATTCCTCGGCCACGTAGCTGTAGCGTCACGGCACCTCGCCGCCCTTCTTTGCCTCTGCTTTAGCACAGGGGGAGGAGAACATTTGCTCACTGTGGCTGCCCATGCTGTCGGCCACAGCTCTCTTTAGTCTCCTGAATTTGGTAGTGCAGATCCCCAGGGTAGCTTGTCTCCCTTGGCATCTGGGAAGGACGTCCCTTCAGCAGCAGCATGCACACCACCTGGGCCCCAACAACTTGGATGGCCGGACAACAGCACCAGAAAGAGGGAGGAAAGGAATGGAGGAGAAGAAATTAAGGGGAGGAAAAATAGAGCAATACGACATGAGAAGATATGAAACGAGACTAAGTGAAAGAAAAAAAAAATAAAGTGAACCCAGGAGTTTGAAAAACACTGTGATCTAGATGGGGTGCTCTGGGCTGCATTAATGGACCTATTTCTATGGCACCCATTTTAAGGTCACTTCTTGTTATTGGTGAGACACTGACAGGCTGGGCTTAAGTTCAGAAGGCCATATCCTTACAGGTTCATGGCTGCATACACAAGTGAAGGAATAATTGTGAGGCCAGATACTCTTTCATGAAGAATAGATGGAAAAAATGGTTAACTGCACCTGACAAAAGTAACACAGAGGAAAAGGACAGCGCTCTTTAAAGACTTCAACAGGTGTCACACAAAGAGGGGTGAGACTTATTCTCTGAGGACCCATAACCCAAAAAGGGGGCCTACCAGGAGAAATTGTTTTCAGTGTAAGGAAGGATTTCCTAAAATTTGGCCGCCGGTACCAAAGTGGGTGATCTCAGGCCTCAGAGAGCACCTACTACCAACAACTGCCAAGACAGGCTGTCTCCTCGGTGAGCAGAGGAGAGGCCTGCCCTGCAGAGGGGGAGGGACTGAGCACCTCGACACCCCAGCCCCTGGGAAGGGAAAGGCATCACACGCCAGGACCACGAAAGGCTAAAAAGCAGGAAAGACTCAGACCTGGGAAATCCAAGGAATTGTGCCCTTATTAAGGGTAAGGAGGAGAAGCATGATGCCCTCTCGATGGAATGGCGTACCACTCAAGATGGCTGAGAGCAGCTGAGAATATCCTACGAGGGAAAGAGCCAAGCCAGAGTTTTCATGGTGAAGTTAAAAGACATTTTTCCTAAGGAATATTTTTATAACACATCCTTCCTTTTTTATTTGGGTTTTTGTGTTTCATTTTTGCTCTATAAAATATTATGCTATATTGGAAGCTAAATTTGATGTTTTACCTTTATTCATGATTACATAGCTATTTTATGTGAACACAGCCATACTATTTTGCTGGGTTTGTTTTTGTTTTGGCCTAAAGTCTTTTAGCACAGCGGTGCGGCCAGGAAAGCAAGTCTAGTGACTGGGGGTAAGGAGGGTCTGCAGGAGGGAACCAGAGGTCTCTGGGGTCAGGGCCCAAACTGCGCACCCAACAGGAGCTTTGAGGAGGTGGTTTAACGGCTCAGGAATTTGCACTCGCGCGCTTCATTTCACTCTGTCCTCACGCCAGCAGAGCCTGACTGTGAAGTGGGCGTCACGTCAGGAGCAAGCCGGCTCTGGGCAGCACGGACACAGCCCGCATGGCCCTCACGGTTTGCTGTAACCACCACCGAGGCTTGCGCGCTCACCCTCCCAGGGGAGCTCAGGGCACAGGGAGGTGGTGCGGCCCCCACCCAGAGCATGGCCCATCACAGAGGCAAAGGAAAAGAGGACGTTAGAATCACTGAAGCCCTATGGGAAGTGACAGATTTCACTGCCTCTTGCATCTCATTGGTCAGTGGAAGCCGGTGGTCACACCTGACTTCAAAGGGCATGGAGACAGTGATCCTGCCGGGACACGGGGAGCAGTCTCTGTGAGCAGCCCTAAGGGCCACCGCCAAGTTGCAGTGACTCTGCCCTAACTGGTCCCAAGTCTGCGTGAAGCTGAGCCTCACGGAGGTGAGATGTGGATGCCCAGGAGTGCCCACCATCATCCCGATGCTTCCTACAGTGCAGAAGGGGCTGGCTCGGGGCTTTTCAACAGAATCACCCATAAAGGGGAGCAATCGCCTGGCCCCCAGGGAGTCCACTGAGTGGAATCTTAGGTTGTAGCTTCTGGGGTATCCTCTGAGGCAACAGCCTTCTAAGACCATTCTCAGACTGCCTGTTATTTGGATGCAAAAATGAGCCTCTGGCCAAAATTTGCTCGTGCACCTGACCCCCATGGCTGATTCCCTTGACATTATGACACCATTGTCCCTGGAATATTTGCGCTCCGCTTCAGCCTAGGCTTCTCTACGCCTCTGACTTCTCAGGCATGGTGCAGGTTATGGCAGACATATCTTAAAAAATTAAATATCTGAATTCAAAGAAGACAGCTTGCTCATTAGGGTCTATCTTTAGCTGAGAAAATCAGAAGTAAGTACAACATCATTTTTCCCTGCACGTGGCTGAAATTTCAGTCTCCTCTGAGCAAACTAGACCCATAAGTTGCTCGGTAATGGAATGCTTTGTCTTTACAATTCTTGCTACGGCACATTCTCCTCTTCGTTTCTCTTTCTTGGGACCCCTAGAGAAAGTAGTTTGGGGAGCTCCACCCATATTAGATGCAGATCAAGCAGATCCTGTTCACTCGGTTTCAGCTTTGCTTTCACGGCATCAGAGGCAGGATATTATTTGCAAGCAGCCAAGGTAATTACCATCCAGCAGGGTCCAATTGTTTTCAATTAAAAGCTTTACTGCTTTAGTTTTTAATACCATTGTGACCATCTGCTTTCACTGAAGACCTACCAGCCAAAAGCCCAGGCCACATCTTAATGCCATTAACTCCCAAGAACCATTTTACTCCAAATTGAAAAACTCAATAGTCCAGGGAAAATACGGGAATAGCCCAACACATCTTTGGTGGCCGAGGGAAAGCTACAGCATAGGACTCTAGAAGGTCACATCTCAGAAACACAAGCACTTCCTCTTTTTGCCTGAAGTACTAGAAAATTGTCTTAGCTCTCTGCATCACGTCAGCAGGGGATGCTCAGCATTAACCGCTCCACTTCTCATTTTCCATCCAGCCTTGGGATTCTACAGCTCCACTACAAAAACTCTCCAAACTACAATGTCATCAGCGGTATTGTTTCAGTACAGACATTTCCCATTTTTGAAATGCAATATCAGTCCAACTCTGCATAGCTCATGATGACCTGGAAACTAGGTGGGGGTCAATCATGGAAAGCCTGCCAGGTTACCTAATGGAGGCTGTGATAGAAAGTATTTTAGCTGTTTTCCTAACTTAGAGCCTGGACTCCATGTCCAGGGTCACAAAGTTATTGGAAGTTACCTTGGGTGTTTTATGGACCTCTGAGAGAGATAGCCCAAGGGCTAGACTCGGAGTTTCCAGCACAAATTTAGCCCACTTCAGGTGGTTTACCCTTGGCCCCACAAAATCCATTTGCACAGCCCAATTTTCCTTACCTTCTTTTATAGGTAAGTTTTTGCAGCTCCAGGGAGCCATGGGCCATAGCACATGCAAGTCCCAGAGAAGGATCCTTTCCAAGATAAAAAGGCCAGGCCTTGCAAAGAGAAAGTGCTGGGCCTTTTCCATCCCCTTCCCTGGTCTTGGCTCTGCCTGTGTCTTGGACTGGGAGTCTGAAGGAGCAGCTACCATCTGTGACCGTGGGTCAGTAAGCATGAAGACAGAGGCATAAATACTAAGGATGGTGTCAAGCAGAAATTCAGGGAGAACTTGAGTCCTGATTGGCATAAGGCCAGCCCTAGACTGCCAACACCCAGACTACTGATACATGAGGCACAAAAATCACAAGCTGTCTCAGACCCACCAGTAGGATTTACTACTATTTGGGGGGAAAAGAATGCATCCCTAACAGCAACCAAACTAAGAAAATAGTCACCAAAGGATCTGAGGAAATCAGAGATACCTTCCCTCCTTGGTCCAGACCAAAAAAATATTTCCATTTTGAAGTAACAAATTTAATCTCTTAATTCTCAAAATTGTAAGGACAAAAGAAGATCTCAAAGGATTAGCCACACTAAAAGAATTCTGAATGCAAATTAGATGTCTATGCATAGTTGTTGCTATTCTCCAAATATTTCCAGCTTTCCTTCTTCTAGGAACATAAGATTTTGCTTCCAAGCCCCTTTGTACATGAGGCAAAATCATGTGATTTTCTTTGCCCAGTGAAACAAGAAGCCAAATCAAAGTTCATTCTCCAGCTGAGCCTTAAGAACCTGTGTGACTTTGCCGGTTCTCGTTTCTCTGATCGAGGTGATGGGCAAGCACAGGTCAAAATGAAGCATCTTGCCTACCTGGGTTCCCAAAGGTCCTCACGAGCAGTGCCTCCTGCTGGCCCACACTGGACATAAGTGAGGAACAACCCTGTGTTGTTACTCCCCGGAGAAGTTAGTGCTGTGCAACCTGCCCCCCGGGAGCACTACCGTGCTGACCTACAGGCTCTGGATAATGCAGGGGTATCTAGTGAGGAAGAGGACCTATGGAAAAGCTGAAATGCTGGCTAAGGAATTTCTAAGCATGTAAGCCAAGGAACGTCTTGAGGAGTGCAGAACAAGAGCGGCAGTTCCCAAGCGTGGCTGCACATTTGCAGTCACTCTGGGACTCCTAATAAGCCTGAGGCCCACGTGAACACCACACACCAACGGAATCAGAATGGTTTGGGTAGGAGCCAAGCGGGGGTGTATTATAAAGACCCCAAATGATTCCGATGTGCAAAATTTTAGGAACCATTCCATCAAAGTCCTTTTTCTTAACTTTTTAAAAAATAACAGTTTCTTAATGAGCATGAAGATATTCATTTCCAGGAAGTCAAAGAACAGTGGCTGGTCATGCTGGAAAAGGAAGCTATCAATCCAAAGATATAACTGGAAGGGTAAGTCACAGTCTATCCATGTGGCCCAGAAAAAAAGGGAGGGAACTCCCCTGAAACATTCCTGTAACACCAGCTTAATACCTCTTGGGTGGGGCCCTGCCGTCTGGGACTTCAGTTAGCTGAGATCAACTCAAAGCATCCAGTGAGCAGCAAAATATGACATCTTTCTCAAGGTGCACATATTGCCGTGAGCCCTGGAATCACTGCGATGAACAATAGGTTTCCCAGACCCTCATTACCCACTGGTGTCCCCACGCCTTGGCTTGGGTTATCTTACCCCCAAAGGCCTGGGAGTGTCCCCACAGCTGTCCTCAGTCTGGGTGCCAGGAGGGAGAGGAGCAGGCCATAGGCCGTCTGGGCACAAGGGCTGTGTCATCTGCGCTTGGCCTCTGCCCTCATGCAGAAATGCCACATAGGATCTCATCATGTTAAATTGCTCTTTCTAGAAAAAACAAAGTAAGAAATTAAAAATTTTAAAGTTCTTCATGCACAATTTGCTCCCAAACACTCCAAACTATTTTTTCCACCACTTGTGACAAACCTAAATAGGGCCAGCCAACCTGGAAACATCCCAGGGACCTGAAGAAAACCAGCCTGGGGGCCGTGCAGATACCCGTTTCTGAGGCGCCGAGGCAGTCACCCCTAATGACACCGGGCCTCTGTCCTCCGGTCCTGCCTTCCCACCCCCATGCCCAGCAGGCTTTTCCTGTTAGGCCCCTGGAGTCACTCAGGAAACTGCGCACGTAGCATCGCAATCAGATGCCTTCTCCTCAGACGGGCTGGCTACTGGCCACTTCCTGTGGCTGTCAAATGAAAAAAGAAAAAGAAGCATATCCCCAATGACTTATTGTATCACTTCCCGTATCTGACTATATGGCAGCCAGCATAATTTAACATCACTTGTAAATTAAAAGGCCTCTTGCAAGAGTGCCGCAGCTGAGCCCTCCAGCCTGGTTTGCTGATCATGAAGAAACGTTGCCAGGACTTCCATTATGAATAGTCATTTCCTGAGATGTGACTCCAAAAACACTGACACGGAGTCACACGCTAGGTGACTGAACAGGGCTTACAGATCCACCCTGTGTCCCTCTGCTCGGTCTGCAGCTTTAACTGACTTTTCTGACGTCCTCCCGGCGGCGCAGGGCCCCAGGTGTCTGCGGTCACCACGACCCGCCCGAGTCTTCGGCAGCCCGGCTTTGGCCTGTCCGGCCCTGGCCTGCGGGACGCGCCGAGAGGACCCCAAGCTCCCCGACTCCGCCCGGTTCCGGGTGCGCGCGGGGCTGCGGCTGGCAGGTGGGAGCCCCGCGTTTGCCATTGCGCTGGGCAAGCGGGCGGCCCCTGGTGTGTGGGCGGTGTGTCTATCCGGGTCGCTTTGTCTGCTCGTGTCCTAATCCCCGTGCAGGGCTGCGGCCAGCCCCCTGGGAGTCAGCTGTCCACCCCCTGGGAGTCCTCTGCCCCAGTTCTCGCTCCGCCTTGGCGCCCTGCACCAAGGGCCTTCCGGGAGGTGCGCTGTCCTGAGCGCCGCACACCCTCTCCAACCCTCAGGTTCCCTATAAAATGGGAATGACCCCCAAACCCGTACACACAGGCTTGCTGCGAGGATCAGTGGGATCCCATATGAAAAAAAAACACTTTACACAATGCCAATATATCAGTTGACATTATTGCTAAAAATAGTAAGAATGGACAGACCAACCCAGCTCTAACCCTGACTTTATTATCTCGAATCACATGTTCTTAAACAAGACCTGAAACACCGGGGCCTTCACGCCGCCCATGGCGCCATCCTAAATTTGTCATGGGGATTAAAGTGCAGTGATATGCAATACACCCCACAGTACTTGGCAAATACTGGGAGCTCGGTAATTGATAATTGCTTTTATTTTTATTGTTAGTATTGTTATTTGAATAGGACAAGCGAAGACTTACCCAAGAAAAATAAATGAGGTGCCATGTTTTATATTTTTTGAGTCTCAAAGAAAAAAATCAGGGAAGCAGGCCTTTCACATTTCTAAAATGACTTTGATTCAAAAATAAAGACCAGCGCTTGATAGCTCCAGAATATTGTCTAGCGGATTTGGGAACTGAAAAAAATATGAGAACAGCTGACACGCTACAGCTTAAATATAATCAGTCACAGAAATTGCTCTGCAATTTGTTTCAGTGTTTTTCTGTGGGTGTCTTTTTTTAACCATACATGTGTCCTAAATATATAATTATACGGCAGAATATAATAGCTCATTTAGAGTTATTGAGGTCTATTATATAATTCAAGATGACTGTGGGGCGGGTTTTGGAGAGGAGTGGTGGCTATTAGCATGCACAGTGTCAGACATGAGCGCACACAGATGTTAATAGATGGTCTTAGAACCAGTTTTCTTCTTGCCTTTGCTAGTCTCCCAAGGACAGACAGACTGCCTTCCTACCCAAAACTAAATTGTTTTAAATTGACATCATCTATTTGTTCAAACGATTAAAGAAGCTTCTATGTAAAATTTCTTAAGAGCAGAATATAAGTATCTGTGTGTGTGTCTGAAGTGTGAATTTCTGTGTGTCTGTGTGTCTGGAGTGTGGGTACTCAAAAATGCTAAAAAGTGTGTCTTGGATATAGCAGACATCAATTTTTCAAGGAATATAAATGATGCAAATCCCCCTTTCCCCGGATACCTTCTCTTTGCACCAATCTATGAAATGTGTGCATATATAACTGTTAGGCCAAACAGGAACACACACTTTTCTACCACCCTGATTTGGATCTTAAATAGAATTGGCCATAGCCATGATCTTCTAGTAGAGCTAATCACCTTGCCAATGTATCCCTGTTGTCCCTGTTGATTAAATGATGGATTCAATGCAGCCTTTTGTCAATTTCCATTCCTATTGGATAGTTTCTCTCCTTTCAAGACAAATTCATCAGGACATTAGAGACCACATACTCAAAATCCACTACTTAATTTATTTTTAATCCCAAGAAAAACCAAGACTAATGAAAGCATGGCTATGCCTTAAACCACTGACTCCTGAGGGTCAGGGGACAGAAATGCCTCATGTCATCACACCCTTGTGTGTACAAGTGCTCTTGGGGTTCAGAGTCATCAGTGAGGAGTTTAGACAGCTTATTTAAGCCAATTCAAGCTGACCTGGTCAATCCTTGACTCCTTGTACTTAAAGTTTGTGAAGAACCACGTTTCATCCAAGTGACATTCATCTACTGAAGGAACAGCCCCACTGCTTGAATGGAAAACCGTCGCCCACAGAGGCCAACAGAGCACATGAGTGGTGCCCACGGGTGGGCCACCATGCTGCACGGGCTGCTCCAGAGCATCTATGTTTGGGGCTATTGAGGACTTTTCTCATCAGGTCTGGCTCTCGCCTTCCGAAGATTCAAACCTCTCAAAAGATGCTTTAATAAGGCATCTGCTTTCTCTCTGGGATTCATAGGAACCTCTGGGGTTGCCAGGTATCTGTAATCAGCCAAGGACTAGAGCCACTACCACATAGTAATTTCAAGTTGGATTTTGTGTCCTCAGTGATTTCAGCCAATGATTATATTCTGGGATCTAATTTTCAAGACCCCTTATTCTCCAGGGAACAATCCAGGGCCAGTCCTGGCCCAGCATTCCTGACCACTTATTGCCCACCGCCCCCCAAGAAGCTGGTCAAACACTGTGTGGGCTTCATTCCTGGGGGTTCCAGCTCTCTTCCTACCCCCAAGAGGGGGCCTGGGTCTGAGGGAGGAGCCCAGGAACCAGGGGGGACATGGCCATTATGTGGAGGCCACACACGCTGGTGAGAATGTGTGTCTGTCCTGCAGCAAGAAGGCTACTGGAGTAGGAGCAGAGGAGCTGTCTAGGCAGTGGGGCTCTCAGGCCACAGTGGGGTTCAGGTGGGCTCCCAGGAAGGCTCAGCAAGGGGAGCAAGCTGACAAGCCGGAACTGGAGGGGATGTGCTGGTGAGGAAGACGCCTGAGCCTCCAGTTTTTCCTTGATGCCCTCAAACTATCCCCATGCGGATTTGCATCCAGCTGGCATTTGGCCGCCCTGCTGCCTCCATGACAGCACTTTGATGAGCCTCCTCCCTGTCCCCCAGCTGTGCCTGGCTTCAGCCTCACTCTCAGTGGCCCTCACTTCTCTCCAAAAGCCAGAACTGCTGCTTCTCTCCAAGAGGTGAGCCCAGCTGCCACTCCCGCTGGTCAGGGCTTTGGTATGACAGCTGCAGCTTTTGTGAGTCATCCTCAGGATCCTCCCAGACCCACTTGTCCCCAGAAAGAATCAACCGTCAGTACTGACCAGGCGGCACCAGGGGCTCCCGCCCAACCCCTACCCCCAAAACGGCCTCCTCACCTTTGTGCTCATAGTTTGCCATACCAGGAACACCCCCCTTGTCTTCTCCACCAAACAAACTCTTACCATCCCCAAATCCTAGGCAGATCCTACTTCCTCCATGAAGCCTTCTCTGCCCAGCCAACAAGACGGAACTGTTCATTCCCATGAACTCCTGCGAGCCCTGCTGATCCAGCTAAGGGCCTCTGCAGCTTAGCCAATAACACCTACCAGGGCACCAAGATGCTCTTCCAAATGCTTTGCTTATACAAGTAACTTGATCCTCATCATGCTCACTGTCTGCCACCTCCATTCGCAGGTGAGGGACTGAGGCACACAGAGGTCAGGTTAATGTTCAAGGTCACTACTAACGGTGGCCAAGCTGGGATGGAGCCTCAGGGTGCTGGCCCTGGAGCTTGCCTCCCACGGGCCCGGCCCGCACGGCCTTCCGAGGCTGCTCTCCTGCCCTCTCCCTCAGTGTACACTCTGCCAGCATGGCCTGGCATCAGCTTTGGTTCCTTGTTGATGTGCCATCATGTCACCACACCAGGACTGCCAGTCCCACAAGGGCCCATGACCCAGACATCTTGGGAAAGAGCTGGCGGGCGGGACCCAGAGCTCCTCTGTCTCAGAGCATCCAGGGGGCCCCAGCCAAGCCTGTCTCCATTTTGCTCTAAATCAGTAGCATAATCAGGGGAGCCCACAGACATGCCACTTCTGAGGCCAGGGGCAAACTGGGAAATGGCTCAGTGACCCAGGTCACGGTCACAGAATCTGCACCTCTGTAACACGGGGACAGCATGTTAGTTATCAGACAGTGGATACTGGCCTTTTTCACACACATTTCCTTCCTGGTTGACAGGCTTTCCACCAGAACAGAGGTGTTTCTGGGCTGGGAGACACTATTGTTTGAAGAGAAAAATCATTGTGCACAAGAGTACAGACCCAGACAGACCCACTCTGAAGCCCATCGGTCTGGGCTGAAGCCAGAAGTAAGCAAATAAAATTTGCTGTGTCCCCACATCTGCAGAGGCTGCAGCTGCAGATGGCTGCATTGTCTGTGCCGAGACCTAATGTGTGGGATCATGGGATCACACACACCAGAGCTGAGCAGCAGATGATCGGATGCACACCCAGGCAAACCCCCAGTGAGCAGACACCATCCCATCGTTAGCAGGTGGGGTTCTGGGAGTTAGTCTTACAATCGAACCCACAGACCCCTATCGTGCAGTGCCTCCATTTCCCAAATTCAGTTTGATCCTGTCAGAAAGACAGCAGGAAATAACTTATTGTGAAAGAAAGAGTATCCCCAGTCTCAGGTTAGACGTCTGCTTTGACCTCTACTTGATATTTGCTTCATGATTCAATTTACCTTTTCCTATTCACC